AATCATCGTTCTCCACAGTGACATCCACTGAGTTCCATCCTTACGACAGTCCGAGTACGGTGACCCTCGTATGACCGATGAGCTGTGCTATGCAAACGAATGCAACGCTCAATCGTGGAGTTGACTTTGAGAACGGGCAGATGAAAGGGATAAAAGTCTGTGCCGCGGACCGAAACTGGTCAAACAACAATCAGTTTTGTGTAGTGATCGAAAGCACTATTTTCATTCCGTATTCAGTCGCCTGCGGTTTATGAAACCTAAGTCAGGTAAAGCATGATGTGAACCATTTTCCAGTTAAATCAGCCCTATCCGAAAGTGATTGAGGATGGCTGGGAGAGAGGGAAGGGGGAGGGAAACTCCGATGTATCGAATCGATCACGTAACGTCAAGTTGCACATGAATTGACAATCTGCGGAATCGTGGAATGAGCTTTCCCGTCAGCGAATTGCGTCCATATTGACCAGACGGTAAGCAAACCCACATCGCATGGTCATGGATATCAGGAAAATTTCAGAGTCCAATCACTGCGTCTTTCAGGTTGGGGTCCGAAAGACTCTCCAACCTGTTGGTTGTGGACATTGAGTGATATGGCAACGAAACGATAACAGTGGCGTTCTTGTTGTCATCTCTTATCAGGTCAGAATGCTTGAAACGGTATGTAATTTGTGTGTTGACCATAGAGGTTCATCTTTTTCCCCCTCCCCCAAAATAGGTCCAGTCCCTGTCGAGCTTAAATATTACCACTAACCTTGTATGTATTGCGAGCTTGGCAGCGATCAGTGAAGTTCGCTTCACTGTATAACGATCATGATCATCATGGTGTGTTGCGCATTTCATCAAATAGGTTGCCACGGTGAGCGACGTTTGCTGACGCAGATATGGGATGGAAAAAGGTCAAAGGCGGTAAAAATAAAACCTGGTATGAGGTTATGAAATCCCTAACCAAGACCCTGGGTAACATAGGCTCCTGAATGAGGACCCCGAGATCGTGGTAACGGTGGTTTCAGGCATTGAGTGATATTGTGATGGAAGGAAGTTCAAAGAGAGTCCTGGCCGGCGACCGAAGCGAGAATGGGGCTCATCCGACCAGACGCGCAGACGCAGTGGCGGGAAGTGCCTCGCGAGACAATGTTGACTGCCACCCGAAACGAGTGAATCGACAATTACAGCCCGAAAGACAATCCGCAGCTAACGGGAAAGATACCCACCGAATGCCACAACGTCGGAGCTGTCGATCAACGAATCTCGCGCCGCGATCGGGTCAAACCAGTCGGAATGGCACGCGGAAGAAGAGGCAACGTACGTGCCAAGTGCGGACCAAGACCAACAACGAATGATCCACAGAAAGAGGCATGAATCATCTCGCCGCGCGGTTCAGAATTGCCTGTATATAATCGAACGTAGACACTGTTTGTTTTTGAATCGGATCAATAGAAGTTTTCCCAGCCAGCTCGCCTCGTTCCAATATGACTGTGTCGCAAACAGTGGCGTTCGTGCATATACCCAACATTATTGCAAACCCAGTCCATTTGAATTCCTTATCTTCCTGTTGAATTTGTTCTTAGCACTTCAATCTTCATTCTGCTTTCTTATTCGAAAAGGCATTCAAATTGCCACGAAAACCGAGGCATGAGAATGCACGGTTGTCAAAACCGGAACAACCCCTGTGAAACATTGAATACGAAATAAACACTAACCCGATTGCATGTTTGGAACATGTACGCGGATGCCTCCTGCAACAAAACCGGTGCCGATTTCGGGGTCAATTGACAGCGCCGCCGGGGCAGAGCGAATTGACGAGGAGTAGTGTCATGCGATGGTCCACGTGACTGCAGGCAAATGCCTGCTGTGCACATCGCGCTAGTGGTGGTGGTGGTCAGACCCGATCCGGACATACTGCCCATTTCATTACTCGAACCGGAATCCAACAGACGACCTGTATACGAACGTTTCAATAGCAATTGTGCCCCGTCTGTCTCACCGGGACCGAACGACAGAACAGGAGTGTGACTGGATTTTCGTTTGACCACATCCGTTGCAGATTGCGCACAAGTGGAAGACAGATATGGATAGTAGCTGGAATAGCGCCGCGTTGCGACGACCGGGCTGGCCGTAGATGGCCATCGGGTTAGCGAGGAAAATAGACCGGAACCGCGACGATTCGGACTCAGCATGGGTGGAGGAGTGTACGGTAAGGGACTGGTACTCAGTGCTGAGCCATCTGAACCCCAAACGCGAGGACTGCGTAATCGCGAAAGATTTGCACCGGTCTGAAACGAGAGAAAAAAAGGAAACCTGATAAGGCATGTGTGTAATTAGCGTACCAATAAGTAAGCCTGACTGTATTGATTCGATGTGTACTGGACTCAAAAATATACCAGAACAATTTTTGCGAGAGCACCACCCAATAGGCACCGGTCAAAATACGCGACTATCGATAACCAACAGAAATAAGCAGCCCGTACACGGGGTCCAACATTGCCCTCTCTCCCTCGCTCTGGCTGTTGGGCAGAAACACGTGACAGCCACTTTGTCAAATGAGTGTGATCAAGCAGGAGGTAACAAAAAAGCAAACAAACAATAACGTAACCTAAAAGACTGAAACCAAAAAAAGTATTAGTCATTACGATCAATACATGGGAAACACTCCTTTTATGTTACACAACACCAGCTGGCTAGGGGATTAGAGAACTGGTTCTGTTTAGCTGGAGTGAGTTGAAGAATAAGGCAACGGAAAAAAATTCCTCTCCCCCCTCCGCCCACCCGAATGGTGTGAATTTCACCTGATGGTCGATTATTCTACCCTTTGTTGATTGCCCTCGCGAAAGGATTCAGATGGCCTGGAATTCCCGGGTATTTCGTTATGAGAGACCGGGTACATCGGGTAGCTTAAACGAACAAAGCCCGTAGAGTATAAGGTATAAGCCTGATCCCAATGGCGGCAAAGCTCTTAATGTTCATCATTTTTTGTAGGATGTACAGTACGAGAGAGAAGCATGCCCGCGAGAAGCAGACTAGGCTTCGCGCCGGTCGTGGATGCATCGAACCTGTCAAGAGCATCATACCACGGAACTGTTAGTTGCGGTCTGGAATACCTAGGAACAAGATGCCGATCCTCAAAGAGTTGTATCGTAATACCTCAAGTCGGGTTGGAGAGGCTAGCTTCAGCTTTGGCTTCGGTAAGTTCAACCCACCTTCCAGCTGGGGCTCAAGAGATGAGGATTGTTGTTGGTTAGAGACGCTAAGAGATATGGACAGTATAAAAGTCAAGGGCGCAAATCGGGTACGGTCTGTTTGCTGGAATCCCTTGCCCTTCCCTCGCCACTGCTATGCTAGTTGTCCCATCAGACTCGTCTCGGCCACCTGCTCGAATACCGACGGTCGTCGGTGTTTTTCTCATCTTCTCATGAGGCCAGTCGTTGACTCGCCAAACTGCTGCAATCAATAATCGACTCAGTACGTAGATTGCGGCAGCCCCAAAAGTGTATCAGTTCTCAAAGCTAATCTGCCGGAGATTCCACAGCCCCAAGGGAGGTAGCTGTCCAAATAGCAAAATTTGTGAACCGTTTTAATGATTTCTATTCGACTAGGGAGTCGGAGGAGGGTAAGCACGAGGGAGCACTTTGCAATCCGATTCCAGTCAGAAAGAGGGTTTACACTCCCACCCCTCGGATTGATAAAAATAGCATGAAATTTATCTGGTGTCATTAAGTACACGGAGAAACCGGTTTACGAATGACATCCTACAAGAACGGGGTATTGATGCACAATCAATGACAGGAGACCACGGGAATAGCACTGACTTACTTGAGGCGGAATGAAAATGGGTGCAGGTTTACGCTTCGACTTTTTTGGTGGTGGCAAAGTATGCGGATTACGGAACAGGCTATCCTCGACCAGGGATTTAGACAACCGAGTGACGGCGGACTGGTCCGATTCATCAGCACTGCTTGATCCGGCGAGAGCGGTATTTGTGGATTCGGTCGCGAGCGATTTGCTGGCAGTCAAAGGCAACGCCGGAGACAGATGCACGGTACCCGGAAACGGTTCCGAACGAATGATCGGTGGACTGTGACAGTTCGGATGGACGAGTGGACCACGGGACTGCGATGAGGCGGGAACCGCACCAGCATTCGTGTCCGACAGGACCGGGGAAGACTGGTTGGTTCGAAACAAATCGGCTAGCGAAGCCGGATGCTGACCACAGTGAACACGTCTCTCGGGAAGTGCGGCACATCGGGCCAGTTTGTCGGGTAAAGTGAACGGATCTGTGATGTGGCTGGAGGATAGATGAGTGGAATGAAAACAGGAATGTTGGGATCCAGAAACAAGTGACAAGCAGTTCTCGACCGAAATGTATTGCATGATCGTAACAAACCGAAATCTGAGGATGAAACATATGTCTAGGACTTGAACTACGAATCAGTTTCAGTTTTCAGTTTTTACAACCACTAATCACTAACTTTCGTGCGTGGTTGCTGTTTTCCACCACCCATTTGGATAGAAGAGCAGACTGAAGATTACAAAAATTGAGAGAAAATTTTAGCGGAATTGAGAGAATACCTGTAAAAGTTGGTTGCAAGACTAATGAGTAGATCCATGAGCACCACAGTTTGTGAGACCCAGCCATATCACTCAGTGTCTCTAACCATCAGTGAGCGTCATCTCGGGGTCCAAAGTCAATGGGCCTAAAGGGACCTATGTGACCCAGTCTCCTGGTTAGGGTTTTCATACCATCATGCCAGTTTTTCATCCGACCTCCCTTGACTTTGTTCCTCCCACTACCTACCTCGGCAACCAATTTGGTGAGATGCGCAACACATGTCACAACCAGCGTACTCTATGGAGATCGACTACTTGCTCCAGTGGACAACCGCGACTACCTAACAACCTACACCTAAACTCAGCATTTGTTGTCGGATTTCCTCAAAAAACTCATACAATGCGACGTAGACAGAGGTGTTCGAACACCGACAATATACTTTTATCTTGTTCCCCGAGGTGGCCAAGTTTCTGCACCATGGAGCAGCACTGGCAGAACTGATGCAGCATATACTCAACCC